ATAAAAGCTCTAAGAAAACTAGGAATAGAAGGAAAGTACCTCAACATTATAAAGCTATATATGACAAACCTACAGCCAGCATTATACTTAACGGAGAAAAACTGAAACCATTCCCTCTAAAATCAGGAACCAGACAAGGATGCCCACTATCTCCACTCCTATTCAACATAGTACTGGAATTCCTAGCCAGAGCAATTAGGCAAGAAGAAGGAATAAAAGGAATACAAATAGGTAAAGAAACTGTCAAAATATCCCTATTTGCAGACGATATGATCCTATACCTTAAAGACCCAAAAAACTCTACTCAAAGCTCTAGACACATCAATAGCTATAGCAAGGTAGCAGGATATAAAATCAACATAGAAAATCATTAGCATTTCTATACACTAACAATGACAAACTGAAAAAGAATATATGAAAACAATTCCATTTAAATAGCCTCAAAAAATCAAATACCTAGGTGTAAACCTAACAAAAGATGTGAATGACCTCTACAAGGAAAACTATAAACTTCTGAAGAAAGAGATTGAGGAAGACTATAGAAAGTGGAGAGATCTCCCATGCTCATGGATTGGTAGAATCAACATAGTAAAAATGGCTATACTCCAAAAGTAATCTACATGTTTAATGCAATTCCCATCAAAATTCCAATGACATTCATTAAAGAGATTGAAAAATCTACTGTTAATTTATATGGAAACCAAGAGGCCACGAATAGCCAAGGCAATACTCAGTCAAAAGAACAATGCTGGAGGTATCACAATACCTGACTTCAAACTATATTACAAAGCAGTAACAATAAAAACAGCATGGTACTGGCACAAAAGCAGACATGAAGACCAGTGGAACAGAATAGAGGACCCAGATATGAAGCACACAACTATAACCAACTTGTCTTGACAAAGGAGCTAAAAATATACGATGGAGAAAAGCAGCCTCTTCAACAAAAACTGCTGGGAAACTGGTTAGCAGTCTGCAAAAAAACTGAATTAAACTAGACGCGTAACAACAACATGCATAGGAAAATCATGCAAAGTGAACTCCCTGTATAGCTATCCTTAATTCAACTATCAAACCCTTGTCCTTCCTACCTATTTCTTATACTCTCTCTTCAAACCAAAATTAGAGATAAGAGGCAAAATAGTTTCTGCCGGTAGTAGAGGAGGTAGGGGGGGAGAGGAGGGGAGGGGTAAGAGAGGAGCAGGGGGAAGAGGGGAGAAATGACCCCAAACGTTGTATGTCACATAATGAATTAAAATAAAAATTTAAAAAAAAAAAGAATAACTTGATGTCTTCTGGTCCTGACTGTGGCAGAACTGTCCACTGAATTTTCCCTGCCAAACTGTATTTCCCATGTTACCTCCTAACATACCGATAGGGAAAGAACTTTTTTGGTTCATTTCCAGATAGGGCACAGTCCCTATTCTTAGCATGACGCAGCCTAAAGAAAATGGACTATAGACCCTCTGACCCCTTTTAAGATTAAAAGGGACGCAAAGTACGCATAGGGGGGAAATGAGGCAGGATAGATAGATGACAACTACAAGGGAAATAATAATTATTACTATATCATCATCATTAATTTTTTAGCTTTTGTTGGACTGTGTGCTCTACTGCTTTGAGCCATCACCCTCTGGTCCATTTTTTCTCTGGTTATTTTGGAAGATTGGGTCTCATGAATCTATTTTGCCCTGAGTTTGGCCTCTCACTGTGAATCCTCCCTGATCTCAAGGCCCTCTAAAGTAGATAGGAGGACAGGTGTGAACCTCTGGCATCCTGCTAGATTTTGCTTTCTTTTGACACCCATTATTGTAAGCATTAACACAAGTAAAAGGCAAAACTCTATATGGACACAGGAAAACTAAGGAGATGCTAGCAATAATATTTGGAAAGTGTATATAAATTGGCAGATGAGATATTACTAAGCTGACCAAACTAATCAGGAAGAGAGTCAATACAATTTCTACCATAGATCCTTCAAAGGAATTAGTGGCTCTAAGTTTATCTGGACGTGGAGAGTAAAAATGGAGCTAAAATCAGGAGTGCTTCAGGTTCTTTTGATCATTCTGCATGCAGAAGTTTAATACCCCCTCCTCCCTTACCCCAAAGCCAAAATAACTAGAGGTTTATATCCTTAAAATAAGATGAAGTAGAGAGTCCTAATTGTTTTGGGAATAGCAGATACAGGTGAAAGATGAGATATCTTGTGGATATATAAGTAGGAATAATGAATATTTACAAATACACTGTTGAGACAACTCAGCTTTTCTTCTCTCTACATGTGCTCTTGAATGGCCGGAGACGAATTATATCACTCTTAGGCCAGAAGGTGAATTCTGAAATATCCCGAAAGGAAAAGAATTAAATGTAGCACAAGGCTAGTAGCTCACATCTTTAATTCCAGAAGGATTAAGGTTAATAATGCCTGCCATGGACAAAAAGTTAGTGAGAGCTTCCTCCCCCCTATCAAACAAAAAAGCCAGTTACTAGTGTACATGTCTGTAATCCCAAGACACAGAGGAGGCACAGGTAGGAGGATCACAGTACAAGCCCAGCAGAACAGGCAAAACGAGAATCTTTTATTTGAAAAATAACTTAAAGCAAAAAGGGCTAGAGACATGGCTCAAGTGTAGAATGCCTGCATAGCAAGCTCAGGGCCCTCCAATTTCCAAACTCCAAGTACCTACAGGAAAAAAAAAAAAAAAAGTATGCATAGGCCTGCAGTAATAAATGTCCCAGCACTCCACAGTAATCCTCTAACCCCTGTGGCAGAGGTTCTGCGTCAAGTTCTGCTTAGTTACCCCCCCATTCTTTCTTAACCATGAACAAGAGTGAGGATCAGACTCTAAGGAAGCTTCTAATCCAAAGGGGTTAATTTTAAATGTGAAAGGGATAATAAACAAAACCAAAGATGAGCATATTTGAAATATTTTATTGAAATGAATATGACTACAATAAGGGAAAGTCATAATAGTGGTTTACTAAATTTACAGAGAGAGAAGACACTTTACTTATGATAACATATGCAGAATGCATTGAATGGAACATTCCAAGAGAAGGAAGAACGTGCTCTTAGAAATTAAAACATTGATTGATAATGCCTGAAAGTTGAAAGAAAGATCCGGGAAGAAGAAACAGTAACACAGGATTAAGAGTGTGCCTTGCTTCCTATAATCCTAATTAGGCTCAGAGATTGGGAGAAATCATGGTGAGAGGAAAACTTTCCAGGCAAAGAAATTCTTCTAAGAGTCCCCATTCGCAAAAAAAACAAACAATAGTCATAATACAAAAAACAAAAATAGTAAATACAGGAAAGAAAGTGGGTCCTATCCAGAAGAAAAATAGGTTTTTTTCTGAAAAAACAAGATTAAACTTTGCTTGTTTAAGAGCTATTTTAAACCAAGACCTTAGATTCTAAGAAATTGAAAGTGGTTGTCTCTGGACTTGGCAAAATGGAAGGAGGGAGCTTCTTCAGGGACACTGTTTCTGTAAACAAGCCAAATATAAAACTCTGTGTCTATAAAACTCAACTTTAAAGGGTCAGTTTTGGACTGGTAGAGGTATCTGGCAGAAAGTAATAAGGTCCAGAGTACTGCCTAAATAAAAATAAAATAAAATAAAATTGTCCCTCTTAAAAAATAAAATATCAGTTTTTACCCAAATGGAAGAAACTGAGAGTGATCAGTTCATATCTGCAGAAGCCACCAGAAATACTTGAAAGTAAGTAGCCAGGGGCCATGTAATAGTAATCGGTGGAGATTCTGAGGTACCACAGAAGTGGGCAGTTGCTTAAGTAGAGAAAACAAATGAAAATCCACACTAGCTATGAATACCTACACTAACAGGAGGTTAGAATATACCTTGTGGTGATAAATGTACATTTTATAAATAATAGGCAGCAGGTACGCTATGCTTACTTTATGAAACTTTCCAGTAAGCCATATATGGCTTATAAATAATTAATATCAACTAAGAATTAGTACATTAAGGTAAAAGTAGCCTTAAAAATCAAGCTATTGAAAAAATATTAGAAAATTTAAGAATGGTTTATGAAGTATTACACACTGATTCAAGCCAGGTGTGTGGTGCAAACCTGGAATACTTAGGAGATGGATGCAGGAGGATTAAGGAGTTCAGGCAGCCCTTGCAAAAGCTAGTGAGCCCTATCTCAAGAAATAAATAATATAAAACAAAAGGCTAGATTTAAATGGCAGACCGCTTGCCTGCATGCTCAAGGAACTTGGGTTCAATCCCTAGCACCACAAGGAAAAACAGAAAAGGAAAGAAAACTAATTTTTTACTTTACAAATGTTACTACAATTAGTACACTTGCTGCCTTTCTGAAAGATTTGATCAAAGTTTTAATCAAATGAAATATAAGCCAAACCCTACCTTCTCATAAGCTTTCCTTTTAAAGCAGCACTAGAGGAAAGTCTAAATAACTTGATGTTCAATTCCTTTGCAATCTTAGTTTCTAAGCGCCAACTTCTAACTGACCAAGAAAATCTTTCACAATTGGATGTAGTGGTGTGGTGGTGCACACTGTAATCCCAGCACTTGGGAGGCTGAAGGCAGGAGGATTGAGAGATCTAAGGCCAGCCTGGCTACAAAGCAAGTCCCTGTCTAAAACAAAGAGGGGAGGGAAGGGAGAGAAGAGGGAGAAGAGGAGAGAATGGGGGGAGGAGAGCAGAAATCTCTTCTCTTACTTCCATTATTTCCTTAACCTAACAGCCCATATTGTGGGGTTGCATGTTCACAACAGCTGTGAATTGCTTAGAAAACACAAAAGCCATCTTGGAAGATCTATCACATTTAACCCAATCTTATCACACACATCAAAATGTGATTTGCATATGGGTATGAGTTAGAAATCACAGCACTTATATCTACATATGAAAACTATTTCTATTTTTTTATACAAGTCCCCATCTACCTCAAATATTTCTTTTAAGAACGCTCAGCCAAAAAAACCCTTATAAAACAAAAAACAAAAAACTAACCTGAGAATGATTTAACAGGACTCTCAACCCTGAAAAATCCAGCATCAAATACTATTTTGTCAACTTCCTTTGGCATTACAGAGGCCACTGCCTCATTGTGCTCTTCTTGCTTAATTCTCTCTCTTACTGCATTTTTGATGGCAGCTAAACGATTTCTAGCTGCAATCCTTCCATCATCCTGTTTTGGTTTACTCTCGATACCTGAGACTTTTTTTTTCTGCAAAGAGAAATTAGGATATTTATTAAAGCTGTTCATTACCATCTTATAAGAAACACACAAAACATAACATTTTTGTCATTTAGAAAATTTAAGGGTTTTGTTTTGTTTTTATTTATTTATTTTATATTTCGAGATAGTACCTAGCTATGCATTTGAGGCTGGCCTCAAACTTAAGATCCTCCTGCCTCACCTTCCTGAGTGGTGGGGTTACAGGTATATAGTACTACCTCTGGCTAAAAAAATTGAACTTTCGAAAAAAGAAATCATACATAAAATATATCACCCACTTAGCGTTCATTTTTACTTTTAGATTAGCTTTGTTTTATTTGTTTAATAAACTCAACAGTATCCCAAAAGGCTGGAGATATGGTTTAGTGATAGAGTACTTTGTCTAGCGTGCACAAAGTCTTGGGTTTGATCCCTAACAATGAAAAAAAGAAAGAAAAAACCAAACCAAAACCAAACAGTAACTTAACATAAAGTAGGAGAGAGACATCTGGTGAAAACAGGAAGAACTGCAAGATTCTGATATGATACAGCCATTATCTGCTTCACTGATGATATATTTCCAAGACTAAATGCTCAAAAAGAAATACCTGCAGTATGAGGACATAGTGGCACACACCTGTCTGTAATTCCAGTACTCAAGAGGCTGAAGCAGAAGGGTTGCAAGTTCAAGGCCAGCTTGGGCTACCTAGTGATATCCTGTCTCAAAAGACCACTCTCCCCAAAGAAAGAGTTATTAAAAGAGTAGTTTTAATAACAAAGAAATATCTTTCAGTATTGAGTAGATTTCAAATATATTCATTTAGTCACTTTCCTCAGTGTCCTTGTCATGAGACTTCATTAGTTTATCATTTTATAACAAGGTACTTTTTAACACCTTCAACTCCTAAGATAGGATTCAGAAGAGTTTTATTTGCGTAAGATGGCATAGGAAAATGAATGAAAACAACCACAGATATATTACTCAAACCTAGGTATACCTATTGTAATATAGGCATTTTACTAAATTCTCAAAGAAAAACTGACAATGCTTAACTTAACCTGTCCACCTTTACTGAAACCTTTGAGTTAAAAATATTACAAAAGCTAAATGCTGGTGGTTCATGTTTATAATCCTAGTTATGTGGGAGGCTGAGATAGGGAAGACTGTGGTTTGAGGCCAGCCCAGGCAAATAGTTCCTAAGACCCCACCTCTAAACTAACCAGAGCAAAATGGACTGGAGGTGTGGCTCAAATGGTAGAGTACCTGCTTTACAAGTGAAAAGCCCCGAGTTCAAAGCCCTATCCCACCAAAACCAAACCACAAACTACTAGAGGAAAATTACCAGAAACAAAAATACTAGAAATAGGTAAGTTTGGAATGTATTAGATCATGGCTCAAGTGGGAGAGTGCCTGATTGCTAGCAAGTGCAAGGCCCTGAGTTCAAACCCTAGTACTGCCAAAAGAAAAATAAAGAAATTAACAGCAAATTTTACAGTTAGAAAACTATGTAAGAAACTACAGGGAAGAAATATGTTCTGAAGAGCAGTTCTTTGTTAAAAAAAAAAAAACAAAAACAAAAAACAACTTTCTTCTGGAAGAGTGGCTCAAGTGGTAAGAGCACCTCCTTAGCAAGCTTGAAACTCTGAGTTCAAATGCCAGTATCACCAAAAAGAATAAAATAAAATGAAAAAAAAATCTATTGTCTATTATATAAAAAAGCATATAAAACAATAAGAAAACATAGTCTACTAGTTAGACTATGACTCCATTTTCTCATTCTGTAATGAGAAAATGTGGCCTGAATCCAGCTTTACCTTGGGCAAGTGACTTAATGTTTCAATTACACAATGAGGATGCAGCACTTACTCATGGGATTATCATAAGGATGAAGTGAGCTGATACATAAGAAGTACTTGGAATGATATTTGGCACTTACAAAGCACAATATAAACTATCTACTACTACTGTCACCACAACACTACTATTAAACACTACTGGTTAAAGAACTACACAGGATTTGCTCAAGTGGTAGAGTTGTGTGTTTAGCAAGTACAAGGCCCTGAGTTCAAACCCCAGAACCAGCCCCCGCCCCTGCCCCTCCCTTACATATACAAAAAGGATAAAACACACACTCATGTACCCACCATCTGGTTATTTTAAAACCTTCTGGATGCCCCAAATCAATCACAACTCTTATTTTCTTCTCAACAGAAATAAACAGCCAAAATTTTGTACTGATTACTTCCTTGATCTTTCTTTAATCAATACATAGTAATATGAAACTTACTTTGTAAAATGAAAAAACTGAAGCTGCATGTTTTTAAAACAAGAATCAGAATAAAAGGTCCTGTATTAGAAATTTGGGTAAAACCCCACAAACTTACCCGAAAGACTTTTTTCTTTGTATTATTATTGTTTTGCCATCCAGATTCCTCAAGTTTGGTCAGATTGTTGAATTTTCGGTTAACATCTTCTATCTGTTAATAAATAAAAGCCCAAATTTATCAAAATAATGCTAACCATGTTAAAGTTATAAACAAACCAAGAATTTTTTTTTTTTTTTTGACAGTACTGGGGTTTGAACTCAGGGCCTCATGTTTGCTAGGTAGGCATTCTACCACTTGAGCCACTCAACCAGTCCTTTATTTTGTATGTGTGTTGGGTATTTTTGAGATAGGGTCTGCTTTTTGCTGAGCTGGCCTTGAACTGTAATCCTCCTTGTAGCTAGGATTATAGGTGTGAGCCACTTTTTATGGTAAAAGTGCCCATTGTCATTTTTGTTTTTACAAACCTCCAAAACCTATATAAAAGATGTCATATATGAATAACTCTCCTAAAATGGTAGGAAAGATAGACTGATTGTTTTTTGTTTCTTAAATTACACAACATGAGCACGATTTTTTTTTTTAACATTCATTTATCCACTCCCCTACTGAAGGACTTCTTGGTTGCTTCCAAGTTTTGGCAATTATGAACAATGCCGCTAAACATCACGCACAGATTTGTGTATGAACGTAAGTGTTCAACTCACTTGGGTAAATGCCAAGGACTGCAATTGCTGTCCATATGGTAACAATATGTTTAGTTTTGCAAGAGATCACCAAACTGTCTTCTGAGATGGACGTGCCATCCTACACTGTGACCAGCAGTGACCAAGAGTTCCTGTTGCTTCTCGCCAGCACTGGATGCTGTACTCATTTGTAACTCCCTGATGACACGGATGCTGAGCATCTTCTCACATGCTCATCCGCCATCTGCCCGTCTTCTTTATTTTTGGGGAAGGGAAGGATGCTAGACATCTTACATTCTAGGCAAGCACTGCACACTACACACCCCAGCATGGGCTGTTCATTTTCTTACTGCTGAGTTTTAAGAGTTCTTAAACATGTTCTGGGTAGGTCTTTTTATTTTTTAAAAGGTAATACATTCTAAATACTTCATCACATACCTGAAAATTAACCATATCCCAAAATCCATCCAGATCTGTACATGTAGTTTCCTTTTCACCTCGTTTATATTCACAATCATTCACCAGTCCTTCAAACTGTTTAAATCTTTCCTTAATAAGGAGTCTTGTCTGACCAACTGCTGTGCGAATAAGATCTTTAGCTAAAGGAGATAAGAAATTTTTAAAGAAAATAGCATCTTTACGGAAGCAAACTAACTGAAAAGATTCCACCCCAAACATCCTAGGGCTTACAAAACCAACTTCTTAAAGACAAAAATATCTCCCATAAAACTTTGCCATACAATACTACGTTAGTTGTATGCTTCAATTCTTACTAATAATTAGCTATGTTCACTTGTGCTCTGTTGCTTGAGCCACACCTCTGGTTCCATTTTGCTCTGGTTATTTTTAAGATGGGGTCTTGTAAACTACTTGCTCTGCTGGCCTCAAACCTCAATCCTCCTGATCTCAGCCTCCCAAGTAGCAAGGATTGCAGGTGTGAGCCATCAGCACCTGGCAGCTATATTTACTCATAAAATTAACTGCTAAAAACAAACAAAAACAAAACAAAACAAAAAAATTAACTGCTATATAATAGCATCCTTCTTCTCCTTGTATTTTACAAAAATTCAACCTCAAGTCATTATACTTAAGTACTGAAGAAGGATTTCATAATGACAGCACACAGATGATTTTTAATAAACAGCTTTGCCAAGTAAGTAAGATAAAGGAACTTTTTCAGAAAAATCTTTTTCATATTGATTTTCTGATTTTCATTCAGAAAATATTTTTATGTAATTAAATATTACTAGATATTGATGTTACCCAAAAGGGACATCGTATTTTTAAAAAACTAATATTAAAATACATGGAAGTCTTATACTATTTTAGCAGAGATATTAGGAAACATATGTTGATATATGTAAAATTCTTGCTATTTTAAATAATAATGAACTACAAAATTGTACTAGATTTTTGTTTCATATGAATATAGCCACATTAAAAACAATGCTAAGATAGCAAAAAGTATAAATGTTTGCTCACCATCATCTGGAATGTCCAATTCAAGCTTCCTTTCCCACTCAAGGCAGTGTGAGGTTAATTTCTCAGTTTCAGACTGGAGGATATCTCTAAAATTATGACATGCATTTCAGTTATCAGGAAGGTATAAAACATAGGCGCAATGTTAATTTCCAAGAGTTGATGCTTAATTTTTAATGTAGTATATTAATATCCATAAATATAAGTTGATTATTTATGTCCATCCTTCTACACCCAAAACTTACATGGATTGATGATGCAAAGAACACTTTTTTTTTTTTAATTCTAAATTTTTTAAAATTAGGATATATTTGTTGTAAGGGGGGGAGATTCATAGTGATACTTCCAATTAGTCTCATATTGCACATTATTTACATTACCCCCATTGTCTCTTCCTCTCAGCCCCCTCCCCACCGCACTTAAAGCAACTGCAAGAGGTTTTTTAGTTCTGTTTCATATAGGTTTATGAAGTCTATCAAACATATATCATTACCTTAATCTCCTTTCTACACCCTCTCCCACACATTGTGCCTATTTTACAGTCTTGGTTTTCATTATTAGTATTTGAGTTGACGTTCAAAGGGGTGTCTCAATGTATGCCTACTGTGGGTGTGTTTAACTTTGGTCTGTTCAATCCCTTTTAATACTCTCCCTTACCCCTTTACCAAGAACCCACCTTTTATGCTAATAGTTCTGGCTTGTTACATTCTCATTTTTCAGAGGCTGATCAGAATCCAACAGTCCTAGGCGTGCTTTACATTCTGTTATTGTATACAGAGCAAGGTCAACCCAACTGCCATGAGCAGGTTAACACTAAATGTGGTTAGATCTGTGATTAAAATGATAGGCCTTACAGAATCTATCTAATTTTTAGGCAATGATTGTCATCTGGGGTCAACTTTGCTCCCCAAAACACACTGTCTGGAGATACTTTTGCCTGGCCCTACTATCTTGGGATGTCACAAAACATCCTACAGGGTACAGGATGGAAGCTCCAAAACAAGTACATAATTCTAAAATGTCAAAAATACCTAGGTTGAGAAACCTAGACCTTGGGAAAGTTTCATCTGTTTTTATATTAAAAAGCACCTCAGCATGTGGGGAAACAGAAACTCTTGTACATGGTTGGCAGGAATGGAAAATGGTACAGATTGTATGGAAAGTAGTATAGCAGTTACTAATATTAAAAACAGAATTACAGTATGATCCAGCAACTTTACATACAGGCATATACCCCAAAGGATTGAAAGCAGAGTCTCAAAGATATATTTGCATACGCATGTTAAAGGAAAACAAATAAGCAAAATGTGATCTATACATGTATTGGACTATCATTCAGCTTTAAAAAGTAAGGAAATCCTGATACGTTACAATATGGATAAATCTCAAGGACACTATACTAAGTCAAATAAGCTGGCCACAAAAAGACAAATCCTAGTCTAGCATGCCTGTAATCCTGCATTTGAGGGGCTGAGGCAGAAGAACTGAGTATCCCAGGCCAGCCTGGACTATATAATAAGACTCCATTAAAAAAAAAAAAGACAAATGCTGTATGATTCTATTTATATGACATATTTAGGTAGTCAAAATCAGAGACAGAAACTTGAGTGGTGCTTGCCAGGGGCTGTTGGGAAGGAAAAATGTGAATTTACTTTTAGAGTATAGACTTTAGAGTTTCAATTTTACAAGATGAAAGAAGTTATGGAGATAACTTTTATCATTTTAAGTGTACCACTTAAAATGATTAAAATGGTAAATTTTATGTTACATATACTTTACTACAATCAAAAAATTGAGAAAAATGTCCCCCCTAACCCAAGAGATTAAACAAATGGGCAGGGGAAGATGGTGGTAGAGAACCCCCACTAATCATCCTAAGAGGAAAAACTGAGGACAGCTTTTGTGTCTTAAAAGTTGTTTATATTAGATGGTAAATTATAGAATGACAATTAATAAGGAGACATGACTTCATGACTTAGCCCTGACATCGTCTAGTTAGCTAAATTGTTTACTACTTCAGTGACTCATTTGTGTAACACAACAGACTAATCTCTAAAATTTCATGTTTCTAACACTTTATGCTCCAGAAACAAGTGAAGTAGCTCTTCAACATATAAAATTCTCATAATAAAATAAATGACTATACTAAGATAATATTTCTCATGCTAACACTGGAAAAAGTGAGAGAATAAAAACTCTCATACCTGGTTGGAGGGGACATAAATTAAAATTGTGTATTTGTATACAGACAATCAAATAGCATCCAAAATTTATTGCAATCTTAATAGTCACAAACTGAATCCAATATCAATACTCAAAAAACAGGGTCTTATTAGATAAATTGTGGTACATCTACATAATTGGATACTGTCTATTCACTAAAACACACCCACACATACATAACGAAAGAAAGCTTTTTTGTGTGTGTGTGAAACTGGGGTTTGAAATCAGGGCTTTGAGCTAAGCAAGTAGGCACTACTGCTTGAGCCACACCTCCAGCCCATTTTACTTTGGATATTTTGGAGATGGGGTCTCAAGACCTGTTTGCCCAGGCTGACCTCAAACTGAGATCCTTCCAATGTCAGCCTCCCAAGTAGCTAGGATTATAGGTATGAGTCACCGGGGCCTGGCTAAGAAAGCTCTGTAAGTACTAAAACAGAATGCCTCCAACACTGTAACATTAAATGAAAACAGAATAGCATATTGCATACTACTGTTTAAGATTTTTAAAAAAATGCTTATATTTTCCTACATATTCATTATTTATTCTGGAATTACAAGAAAAAATTAACACCCACCTCCATGGAAGGTTCAAAATATGGGGTTGGAAGACGGCATTGGGAAAGGAGACTTTTCTCTTACACATTTTTCTAACCTTTGAATTAGGAACTGCAAATGTACTAGTATCAGAAAATTAATTAAATGTTTGCAGTACTGGAGCTTGAACTCAGGGTCCACACCTTGAGCCACTCCACCAGCCCTTTTTCATGAAGGGTTTTTTTTTAAGATAGGGTTTGTGAATTACTTGCCTAGGGTGGTTTCCCACCTTGATCTTTCTGATCTCTGCCTCCTGAGTAGTTAGGATTATAGGAATGAGCCACCAATGCCCAGCTAGTAATTAAAATTTTAAAGTAAAAATCACCCACAGTTTTTTTCCCTAACTTACTATACTAAATATTTAAATATACAATGAAACATTTCAATTTGGGTTTTAGTGATATTAGGGTTTCAACTCACAGCTTTGTGCCTGCTAGGCAGGTACTCTACCACTTGAGCCTCTTCCCTAGCCTTTTTAAATGTCTAGATATTAATACTCAATTCTTATGCTAGGAGCAGGCAGACAAACCTGAAATATGGTACATCATGGTGTGGCTGGGATATCTGATCTTCACTTATTTCAAGTGATGAGACTTCTTTTATTGAAAGGCAATTTGAATTTTTAATAATAGCTTCATTTTGATTTAAGCCATGTTCTATGGATTAAAGAAAACATTACCTGTAAATTTCAAAGCAACAATTCCTAAAATATATCCCTAACAAACAGCATTCTAAATATCCTTGGATTTTTTTCAATGTTCCAACTTGAAAACACCTTTTCTGTTTCAATCATCCCATTTACCACATCTTCTCTAATATGGCTCAAAATCTTCCACCTCCTCAAATTTACATTTCCCCTTTGTTCTCAGTCCACATTCTTGATTCCAATTCACTCTCTCCAAATGTCTTTATCCATGCTTTCCCACTTTTTTTCTGACCTTGAAGTCACTTCTCTGACCTATATAGTGAAAATGACCTCTTAGCAAAACTTTGATAAACCATAATCCAGAAAAGTAAAAAATTCATTAAAGTAGTATACCCTCATTGCAAAGTGTCAGAGAACCCAAAGGACACTGTAGCTTACTTGACTCTTGCTGGTCCTTCTTAGTAGAGGAGGTTATACATCGCTGTGCCAAGATTTCCTTTGTTTTTTCTTCAGTCTTATTACTAAAAGCAAAAATATATATTTCATGAAACATGAACTCCATACATGTAATTGAGATTTCAAAATTGTGTAACTTTTTAAAAACCTGGGAAAATATAGAAATGTTTCTTATTTATTTATTTTTGGTCTTTTTGGGACATAGTCTTGCTCTGTTGCTCAGGCTGGCCTAGAAGCCCTGATTCTCCTACCTCAGTCTCCCAAGTCCTTAGATGAGCCACCACTCCTAGCTTCTTTTTCTTTAATTCTGGTGGGGAAAAATTCTAAAAGCTAATAATGGAAATGACAATCTTTATTATTTATAATGTAACTCAAAGATTTGAAAATCTCTTAATAGAATATAAGCATTAATAGTCTTGGATACTGCTGATTAGTTTCTACTGTATTTGTAGTTAGCCAGTCTCTGTAAAGCAATCTTGCTTGCTTTTTCTTTTAAAGATTCCAACTGACAGCCCTCTCACTTTGAAAGTTAATTATTTTTTTGTTTGAGGTAGTTTTTCTAAAGTAAATGAAAGCTATCCTCTCCAAAAAAAAAAAAGAAAACAAAAAGAAAAACCCTATTTGAGCTGTAGTATTATGGCCACTTTCTTCTTGCAAAAAAATTATTTTTAAATTGGGTGCTGGTGGCTCACACCTGCAATCCTAGCTACTCAGGAGGATGATAGTTCGAAGCTAGCCCAGGCAAATAGTTCCGCCAAGACACTATCTTGAAAAAACCCAACACAAAACAGGGCTGGTAGAGAGCCAGCCTACCAAGGATGAGGCCCTACTGCCAAAAAGAAACCCCACACACATACATACACACACATTTCTAGAGGCTAGGGATGCAGGCTCAATGGTAGAGCATTTACCTAGCATGTGCAAATTCTTAGGCTTAATCCTCAACAAGGGGTAGGAGATCTTAGGTGTTATAAATTTAAGTCACTTACTGAAAGTAAAAAAATGGAGATGAGTGTGGTGGTACATGCTATACTCTCAGCACCTGGGAAGCACAGGCAAGAGAACTGTGAGTTCCAGGCCAGTCTGAGCTACACTGTGAGACTGTCTCAAACAAACAAAAACAAAACAAAACAAAACAAAACAAAACAACCCACAAATGATGAAACATTTGGGTGATGAAATATCAAAAACACAACTATATCTTCTGAAGTTTTGTTTTGTTTTTGTTGGCCATTCACTATAAATCTTCCCTTTATTTTCTTTAAGAAAAGAACTTTTCTTAAAAGAGCAAATTATGATTTTTTATTAATATACTTTGCTCCCTTAAAAAGCACAGGTGAAATCTAAGAAAGACACATTATCCCTCTCAGTAAGGGACTCATTATTAAGAATGTGTGTTTATTTATTTATTTTTTTTAAAAGGTCATATTCTTACACTTCTAGTTTTAAAGAGTTCCAGGTTATAAAAAACTCGAGCGCGCCCCGTGTGGCAACATTAGTGGGTCCGACGCCGGCCGCTGAGCCTGAGGCCTGTGTATGGCCGGCCGGGCGTCCCGGGTACCCACTCACGCCCCAGGCACAGCGGCGGTAGGCAGCGGACATGGTCCAAGGGTGTCAAAGAAAGCACTGCCACCTTCTAGGAGTCATGGGTGTTACTTCGTAAGTCTTCAGACCATCCAGTGGCTGAAACGTAAAATTTTTAGGAGCAAAGGAATTCTTTCCTTTTGCAGGATTTGTCTTAGGCAAGTTTTCCATTTCTGGTAAGACTCCATCTGGTTCCATTCCTTTTGTTGTACTGGTTTTTGAATCCAAAGTATTTTCTTCACTATCAACTTTAAAAGAAATGACCTAGATATAAGTAAACAGAATAGAGAAAGAATTTCACTTCCAGGGATACATGTAACTTTGCCTGCTTTTGATTTGGAGGTCTTACTATATAGCCCAGGTTGCTTCAAAGTTACGAAACCATTTTTTTAAATTCTTTTTTAACACAGGCTTGAAAATGTGACAATTTAACTACATATCCCATGTACATAATTTGAGAGGTAAAAAGATGCAGTTAAAATGTATACATAAAATTAGGGGACCAGCTATACTAAACCACTGCTATAAACCAGAAAGAGTGAACCAATCCTATTAATAAATAACACCTTTAACAAATTAAGATACATGAAAACTAAGACAAAAAAATCGGGGTGTGGGGGAATATTCAAGCAGGGCCTCCAGTATGCTAAGCAAGTGCACCATACAAAAATAAATTGACTTGGTACAGTATCAGGGCTCGGGGCATAGCTCAAGTGGTAGAGTGCTTGCTTAGCATGAGGAGCCCCATGAGTACCAAAAAAAAAAAAAAAAAAAAAAAGACAAAAACCATCTCAGGTTAGAGGTGCAGCTCAGTGATAAAGAGTACTTTGCCTAGCATGTGTTAGGCCCTGGGTTTGAGCCTCAGCACAGCAGCCAAAACAAAAACCAACTAAACAAAAAACCCCCAAGAAACCTCAAATTTACTTAAATTACATGGATAATCACATAATGGTTTGAGAATCAGAAATCTAATACGTATTAGATGATTCCTATTGTTAAGGACTCATCATTTAAAAAAAAAAAAACTTTAAAGTAACCTTGTAACAAGAACAATATTTTTCACTGTGATCCAATGAGATTAACCATCTATAATATGAAGCATATTTTCTTTAGGAGATCAATTTAGTTCTTAGCTGGTATTTAAACATTTTTATAATTTTCAAAGCCTCCAATTTTTTTTTTAATGTGTCTGACTTTTAATGAGAGCTGAACTCAAACTAAGGTATTTCAACCTGGCCAAGAGATTATTGTAGTAGTAGTATTATCACAAAGGCCAGTGTGGCAATGAAACTAAAAACTAGTGACAAGTCTTTATGGGAAAATAAATATCAAGGGAGAAGCTATAAATTCTAGTTGGTGTGTAAAGATCAACCCTAGATTGCCTTCCTTGAAGAGTTACATTTGACTTTTAGTAAAAATCTAGAGATATCTTATTCTTCAGGATAACTTTTTAAGAATAAAGAATTATTGCATGGATTATAAACCAATGGATTGGACCCTCAAAATAATGCCTTTTGAGGACTTTATTAAACACTATGCTGATGCTGTCAAAAACATTATCATGTTTACTTCTTAAAACTGCTCTATGTAAGTGTTCTATGTTAGGCAGGCATTCTACCACTTAAGTCACATGCCCAGCACAGTGTTCTATGTTAGAGACTGGGAAACAAACTCAAATTATATAACTTGCTTAAAGTTATGCAGCTAATTGAAAGCAGAGACAATATTCAAGCCCAGGTCTAATTGAATCCAAAGTCAACACATTTCACCATACTACATCCTAACTCTTAGCTAGTTCTCACAAAATGTTTTTATTATTTTATTATTTTTCTCCATCTTCTTTTTTGTTACAAAACTATGTATTCTGTACTATAAAACTCTGAGACTAAGACACCCAAGAAACAATAATAACAAATCCTTATGATGCTTCCTTAAGGTTCAAGAGGTTTAACACACTTGTAGGTTAACTTCTTGAAGCAGTTTTGTACGCTTAATTTCAACTTTATGACAGTAGCAATGAGACTTTTGAAGCATCTAGAAATAAACAGATGTTTGCACTTTACCTTGTCTGATTTTGTTTCCATCTTTTTGGCAGGTCTTCCTTTATTTGTTGCCTGTCTTTCTGGCTCATTATCTAAAATAAAAATGTGATAAGATATTCATTCTAACTAGACAGAAAATGCTGCACTAAAAGTACCAAGTAATTTAGGAAATTAAGAACACTAGGAATATATGCCTTGAAGGATTTTTTATGATTAAAAAACACATTATAAACAGGGATAAAAATAAATGAAATTTCCTTACAAAGAAGCCATCTGTTTTCAAAACAAAATAAAGGTGTTTTACCTTTTCATTTTCCTCTACATGTAAAATACATATGTATAACTGATTGCTAGGAAAACAAAAAAAATGCCAAGACCAACCAAAAAAAAAAAAAATCACTCAAGATTCCATTACTGAGCTGACACTGTAGCATATTTTTCCCTATTTTTTCATATGCACACATATTCACATACCATTTTTCAGAGTTATAGTACTACTGTTTTTCACTGCCAACTAACAACACATCACAAGTGTTCTGTGATGACACAGTTTTTAATGGCTACATTGTACCTCACTAAATTGGTGAACTGGGATTTAATGGGGTCATTAATTTTTCACTTTGAAGCAGTGTTTTACTAGTTCAGGTGTGTCAACAATGCAGCACACTATGTGTGCTAACTGAATGTCATAGCGTAGAACCTTCCTACAGGATTGGAACCTCCCATTTCCTTCTCTCCTACTCAAAGTACATGATGATTTTAAAAATTAAACACAAAAAACTCAATGACTACACATTACAGTTTAGCCACTGATTAAGAAATAGTTCTTACCATTAGTAGCTCTTGTGACTGGCTTTCTTGCTGTGATAGATGAGACTGTTCTGGCAATCTGTTTTGAAACTTGAGTAGCTGATCGAGTCATTCTCACTGAGGCAGACACTACAGGCTGCATAACTGTGTGAAAAGTAATATAATGAATGCTGTTTGTCATTAATAAATTATTACTGTGGTAGCATTAGAGTTTATAATAACAATTACTAATACTCACCTTTTTTCTCTTTGTCTAACACTATCTTTTCAGAAGTCTGTTTTTGACCAGGTCGGATTGCTCCAGCACCACTCCCATTACTAATCTGTTTAAGAGACCAGGTGCTATGTGATTTACTTGCATAATGAATCAAACCACCACATTTTTAAGCTATAAAATGATAGCTAAACTGGACATCAGTGGCTTATGCCTGTAATCCTAGCTACTCAGGAGGCAGAGATTAGGAATATCGAGGTTCAAAGCCAGCCCAGGCAAATAGTTCCCAAGACTTTATCTCAAAAAAAAAAAAAATCCATCACAAAAATAGGACTGGTGGAGTGGCTTAAGTTGAAGGCCCTGAGTTCTGACTCCAGTACCAAAAAAAAAAAAAAGATAGCTAAGATCACTGAATCCTGGTGATCGTAAAACTACTCAATTAAAAAAAAAATCTACTAACAAAATAAAATGAAAGTTTTCTATTACATAAATGTCCTTACATTTTCTTTTAGAGAGTCCTGACTTTCCCAGGGTTCACTCATTTACTTCCTTAAAGACTTAACCCAAAATTCCACTATGTCAGTGAGGCTCTCACTGATGGCCTCAGTTAAAATTGTACACCATACCTACTGGTATGACTGCCCTTCTCCCTTCTTTTTTAATCTCCTTCATAATATTTATGACCATCTGACATACTATATAATTTAATTTTTCAAATTAACTTTTTTTGAGGCAGTGTCTTGCTATATAGCTCAGGTTGACCTTGAACTCACTATGTAACCCAGCGTGGCTTGGAAATCTCGATCCTCCTACCTCTGACTCCCAAGTGCAAGAATTACAAGTGTGTACCATGTCCAGCTTGCCCAGCTTATTTATTGCCAGTCTTACATAAAAGCTCCATGAAGCCAGAGAATTTTGCTTGTTTTATTCATTACCATATCCCAGAGGCTAGGAAAGTGCCAGGAACAAGGTAGTGACTCAGGATCTACTGAATACATGAACCTTAGCTTCCTTATTGGATAATACTTGTACTATTTCCTTCCTTGCCCACTTCATCTAATTCAGTAACCCTCCATCTGGATCTGTATTTAGAAGATCCCCTGTGTATTTTTCATTCCTATTTGAGTTTCATGGAGTTAATTTGGAATGCACAAGAGCTTAGCAAATAAGGAAACACTAAGATAATGGTTGGTATGGATTTCACAGAAGTACTGCACACAAACTGATTGTGCCACTAGAGCTCCACTGATAGGGAATTCATAAGGGATGTTTGGACAAAGAATTTTTTTGGGGGGTGGTACTAGGAATTGAACTCAGGGCCTTATGCTTATGTGCCAGGCAAGCACTCTACTGCTTGAGCCACACCTCCACTCCTTTTTTGCTTTCATCATTTTTCAAAAAAAGTTCTTGCTTTTATGCTCAGGCCAGCCCAGACTCCAATCCTCCTACTTACACTCTTCACACAGCTGGAATGACAGGCCCGTACCAATGCACCCAACTATTTTTTCCCACAGGGGTACTGAGGTTTGAACTCGGGACTTCACGTTTGCTAGGCAAGCACTCTAAGGCTTGAGCCATGCCTCCAGCCTTTTTTCCCCTCTGGCTGAGATAGGTCTTGATTTCATGGAACAATGATCCTCCCATTTTAGGCTTCCCACTGTAGCTAAATGGCAGGTGTGCACCCAGTTATTTCATGAATAAGGTCTTGCAAACTTTTTTTCTGGACTAGTCTGAAACTGTGATCCTCATAAAGTCTCCTTCATAGCTGGGGTGACATCTGAACCATATATTGGTTGAGATGGAGTCTTGTGAACTTTTTGCCATGGTTGGCCATGAACTGCAATCCTTCCAATCTCAGTCCCCCACTGGTGTCCAGCTGTACCCAAATTTTAATTGATTGAGATGGGATCTTACAGACTTTTTGTCCTAGATGGCCTCGAACCTCAAACTTCCTGATCTCCATCTCCCGAATAGCTAGGATTACAGACACCAGCAAAGAACACAACTTAGGCAAAGAATATTTTAAATGAACATTTCCTTAGCATCTAGACAAAAACTGTTTTAAGGTCACTGTATCACTAACAATAATTTTAGCAACTGTCAACTCAAGTACAAAAAAAAAAATCAGTATATTTGCATCTGATACTAGGTTTAAAATGAATTTACTTATTCAGAAAAGAAGTACAATCTGTTATATTTATTTACTTGGCAGTAGTAGAGTTTAAATTCAGGGCCTCCTGTTTGCTAGGCAAGCACTCTACCACTTGAGCTGTACTCTTGGCCTTTTTTTTTGTTGTTATTTTAGCTATTTTTCAGATAGGGTTTTGCATTCTTGCCTGGAAGTGGCTTTGGACTGCAGTCCTCCTACCTCCACCTCCAGTGTAGGTGGGATTGCAGGGTGGCCACTATACCTTGCTTGTTGAAATGGCATTTTGCTAACTTTTTGCCTTGGTTGGCTTCCAACCACTACACTCTGAAAATCTCCCTCCCAAGTAGCTCAGATTACAGACATGAGACCCATGCCCCACCAATCTGTTATTTCAGTAACAATCATTTACTATCAACTCTGTACCTTAGTATGTCCCATTTGGTCTTTGGTCTTTGATCTTGTAATCCGTACATTACATGGAATACCCTTCAAAAAGTCAAAAGAAGATCAAGTTAAAAAAAGAATGAACTGGCAAAAGATCATTTCCATGTCTCATTATGAAATGAAGTTCTCAGTATAAAAATAAAGATACTTGCTAACTTAAATTCCTGCTTTTTCTGGTTCCATCTGGATTTAAATTAAAGTTAATAATTTAAAACTTACTCATATTTCTCAGTGAGGAAAGAGAAAAAAACTTCAGGTCACATTTTCTAGGTATTAGAATCCTCATTAAATGATTAGGTTGACATATGTTGGAAGGGGATAGATGAGTGGCCTAAAATTTTAGGATCTTTTGTTTTCTGTTTATAAAAAGATATCTTCAGCTTACTTTCCTAGTTTTCATAATTTACTTTCAAATCTAATGGTTATATATTTTTCTACTATCAATAAGAAAATGGAGACTTGATCACAAAATCCAGAAAAAATCTGCAGAGGAGAAGACAAAGTTGAGATTGGTACTGTCAACTCGATAATTCCTAGATTTCTAGACTTGAAAAATTCCTAGAACCTAGACTTGAAAATTCCTAGAACCTAGACTTCTCTAGGTTAAAAGCTATTTTATTTCTCCAAATCTCAGTGAAAGCCTAGGCTTTCCTCTAGAATGTACATAAAATAAGCAATACTCAGCAAATGTCATTGTCTAAGAAAAATAAAAAATTATTAGTGAATCTTGCTATTCAATGATTATTACAATGATGTGCCTTTTTCTCCCCCTACATGCAATACTTTTTAAGTAGTTGATATACTCTCATGACTGGCCTCCTACATATTCTTAGAAAGTCAAACTCTGGAGGAGAAAGGGGCATTAAGAAAGAGTAATAGATAGCTGGGGTGAATTTTATTAAAATACATTATATTCATGTATGCAAATATCACAGTGAAAACCCTTTGTACAATTAATTTATACTAAAAATATTTTAAAGTCAACCTAAATCTGATCTCTTCCAAGAGGCCTTATTGTTCTTCTCAACAGAAATAATCTCTCCTTTCTCTAATATAGAAAGAACATATTCATTTCTATCTTTCCACCTTGAACTGTGTTAGTTTTGATTTCTCCCATATTATCCTTTAGCTATCTTGTACATGAAATAAATAACTAAAGATTTCTCAGGTGAATTATTGAGATTCATCAGTTTCAAAAAATAGACAATATACTGGATCTTTATTTTACTTAAGTCTTATTTAAATTAGGAATGCATATACAAGGGGATCTTTTAAGTAAATTATTTTATTTTATTGGTAGTACTGAGGATTGAATCCAGGGCCTTGCACTTGGCTAGGTAAGACCTCTACCACTTAAGCCACTCCTCCAGCCCCTGTAAATAAATTATTTTCAACGAGATCTGTTCTATGTCTTAGGCAATCATCAGTGGCCATATAATTTACAATCCAACTACTTGTGTTCAAGCTTTATCTTTTGGAACTGACTGATCATGCTCCTTTCTAGATTACTCCTCCTTTAGCTTCTATCATGCTTCACTATTTCTGCCACTCTGATCAGGCCTCCCACACTGGTGCTTCACTTCTACTCACCTGAAGGTGCTGTGTAGACCTCATGCTTTTTCATAATTTTAAATATTCTACTAAAGTAGTTTCATTTAGTCTCACAGCTCAATCACCTATACTCTTTATATCACATCTTAAGTCCACATCTTAGGACACATCTGATTCCTCTTTCCAAATTTTTATTCAAACAAGATTTAAAAAAAAATTTTATAGACATGCATCCGCTCAAGCCTGTTCCTTTTCTTCTGTTCCTCATCTCTCTCTGGCAGTAGCATAAGTTACATGGTTGTTCAAACTAGTAGAATCAGCATGATCATGTCTGACTCTTACTCTTTTACCCTTTCCCACCATCTCGTTCACCAGTCCTCTCAAATACATAGTTTCCTTTTCAAACCCACTTAGCTCACCTCTTCTGTGGCAACAGTCTCTCGAATCATCTTATCTATAAGTGCTTTTCTTTGCAGACTATAATCTTTAAAGCCAGTGTAATCTTTCTGAATCATTAATTTTCTAATGGTACTATGTCATTTCTAAACTTCCCTTAACTCTCCATAACTTATAGGATAAATCCCAAATCCTCTGGCATGGCATTGTTTGACCTGGCTCTACTTACTCTCTTTAGTTTTATCCTTTCTCTATTTATATATCAAGAAACCTGATTTTCGTTCCCCTGAGTTACTATGAAGTCATTCCCAACTCCTACCAGCTAGTTAAATGAATAAAGGGACTAAGAGGAAAAGGGTAGTTTTACTCATTTAATCTCATAAACAACATTCAGTTAAAAGGCACTATTCCTCTGTTTCAAGTTAGGATCGTAAGTTTACCTTCTGCCGCTCAAGTTTCATAGCATTCTGATTTGTTAAAAGAAAGTGAGGTATATCAGGTCTATAAACACCCGTTTTAAATACTCCTTGTTTAGCTTTTTCTCTCTGTTCTTTCAGTTTTTTAAGTTGCTTTTCTTCTTTGTATTTTTGGAGCATTAGTTTTCGTTCATCACTTTCAATAGTTTTCTTTGACCCTATGCAGAAAGAAAATCATCAAAACACAGTATATGAAACATTTCATATAAAAAGTACGGCAAATGTCTAAAAAAAAACCATGTTGACCTAACTTTACTCCTGCCAAGAAATGTTTACTATCTTCTTGTTAATTCCTTAACACAAGAATCACAAGTTATTTCGACCTCTAATCTTGTTAAAATGTCTATTCCTTGTTGTACCTTATTGTCCAAATGCTAACTGCTTGTTATGAACTAGGCATTATTACTTCAATTTTAAAGTTTATTATTGATTTATTGGTGGTACTGGGGTTTGAACTCAGAGACTTGTCCTTGCTAGGCAGGTACTCTACCACTGAGCCACACCCAAGCTCATTATTACTTCACTTTTAAATCTACTAACTTGTATGACAGCCAGCCTCCAAGCTGACTTGTAGTGATTTTTACCTCTTGGTAGTAACGTCTTGTGTTTTCCCGCCCATACTGAATAGGGCTGGCCTGAGTGACCAAGAATAGCATTATGGAAATGATGGAGGGGGGACAGCCATGGCCATGTGGAATGCAAACAAAACTCAAACAGCCCTGTGGAGATGTTCATATGACAAAGAACTAAGGCCTCCTGCCAGAAGCCAGCATCAACTTGCTGGTCATGTGAACCAGTCATCATGGCAGCAGACCCTCCAGTCTCAGGCAAGTCTTCAAGTGCGTCTCAGGCAAGTCTTCAAGTGCGTCTCAGAACTACTTAGACAAGCTGCACTCCAATTCTTGACCCACAAAAATTATGTGAAATAATAAGTGTTTACTATTGCTTGTGAGGCAACCGTTATAATTATTGGTGTTATTCACTATAGTAGATGTGTTCCATTCCTTACCACTTACTCAAGAGCAGCCTTCCAGCAATATACCCAACACTCATCTATTGTTTTCCTCTGTATTGAATTTTTACCACCATAAAATTATAAACATGGAGTAACTTCTCTCAAGCCACATCCTCATTCTCATCTACTATTTGCTTCATCTCTTCTAGTCCTGCTTATGGCAAAATTCTTTGAGAGAAAAAAAGGCTATACCCCTTTTTTTTCACATCTCCTTACATCTACCCCTTTATTTTTCAAAAATCATGAAAAATTTCAAATATACAAACAAGCAGAAATCAATAATCCCTATATACCCATCATCTAGATTCAGTAGTTAATTATGAAGATCTCTGCTACATTTTTGCAGGGAGACAAATTCTACTTACAGACCTCATGCACTCACCAAAACTAAAGACATTACAAAACTACCAGTAATTCCTCCTTATTACAGTCCATACTAAATCTTCCTATTTGTTTTTCAAATAGATCTTTTTTAAAACACCAGTTTCTTCATTAGGAACCAAGCAAGATCCACACATGTATTTGGTTGTCTTTTAAATCTTTTCATCTATTCTATTCCCCATCACACACACAAAAATATTCCTCAAACTTTCCCAATTAGTCACTCCACATTTTATCAAACAAAATATGCTTGGTTTTTCAAGACCTTCCTATACCCTCCCCCCATCCCACTCTCATTGACTTCCAACTCCTAAATGATGTTATTCTTTCCTTTCTCCCAGGAGACCACCAGCCCATTTTCTTTGACCTTGAAACATGAACTGATGATATCATGTCAAAAACAAAAGCAAGAAATGGGGTGTGGCTTAAGTGGTAAGAGAGTACTGTCTAGCAAGTGCCGGGTCCAGCTCAAACCCCCATCCCACCACCACCCCCCCAAAAAATCAAAAGAAATTCAAAAACAAAATGAGCAGGCATGGTGGTACATATCTATAATCTTAGCACATGGGAATCTGAAACAAGAGAATTGAGAGTTCAGGGCTTGCTTGGGAAGCATAATGAGTTCTAGACCAGTCTGGTTTGAAACAGTCTCAAAAAACAAAACAAGAAACAACCACACCCCTCAAAAAAAAACCCTCCCCTTCACCCCCAAATCACCACAATATCTTGTCTAATTCATTTTCCCTCACTTTTCTGTGAGGGTTCAGACTACAGTGTCAGGTGGCCTGGTGACATGCTCTTAGGATTCGTAACTGAACATGTAGAAGGAAAAAGCATGTCCAACAGTATTATCACAACACAGTGAAAACTTAAGCTAAGAGAGCGAGTCTTCGATTCACAATAGGACTCATTCGCGTCAATCAGAAGTGTTCCTACAACTTGAAAGAAAATGCTGTAAAAATCCTTTTGCTTCCTGACCCAGGCATTTTTCCTGGCATCCCAGTTCTCATGTGCTGAAGTCCAAAGGGGAAAAAAGTCTCCCGTTTCATCAACAGTAAGGCTATTCTTTCTGCTACCACCAGGTAAAGCCTGTCCCCTTTGTTAGAGATCTAGAAGAGCTATACTGGGTCACTTTGCAGCAGCGCAGCTTGGATAGCAACAGCAATTAGGGGAAGGAATAATATGTATGAATGTGATACTCTTTAATAAAAACTAACGTAATATGGAAAAAAAAAAAAAAGAAACAACCACCCCCTCAAAAAACAAAAACAAAAACAAAAAAACCCTCCCCCCCACACCCCAAATCACCACAATAGCTTGTCTAATTCGTTTTCCCTCACTTTTCTTCAGCATTGCAAAATGAAAATCTGGAAGAAAACTTTAATAAGCTCAATGCCACTCTTTACAGAATCAGTTAAGTCCAAATACACTGAATGTTTTTGTATGTACCACACTGGTTTTGGAAAATGATAAAACTGTAGCAGCTCATTTCTTTCTCTATAAAACTTCTAAGACTATCTCTTTCTGCAATTCTCCATTTACTCTTGCTTTTTTTTTTTTTGCTTCCATTCAGTTCCTAATGCCTACTATATAAATGCAAAACAGAACTTTAGTGACTCCTGCTAAAATCCAAAGTCATCTCTCAATTTCTTCCTCCTTCCCTACAACATCTTTTGCCTTTTTAAACACTCTCTTTTCATCCCCTTCTGGGATTATTTCTTTTTCTTTACTTATTCTTACTTGATTCTAGTGGTCCAAAATCATTTTGCAAACTGTAAGGACTGCCCAAATGAATTCTTTGCTCTTTTCTATTAGTTTGTATCCATTGGCAAAGTATTCTTGTGCCAGGAATTTTACTGTTGTTGTTTTGATGAGACTCTATAGCTTGAGCCATACCTCCATCCCTTCTTTCAGGTCTTTAATAATTGGGTCTAAGCATCTTATCTACTTATCTTCTTAACACTTTCCTTACCCAAGCTCCAGAAGAATTAGGTTCCCTAGAAGGCAATATAAATAATAAAATGCTATAAAACTCCATAGGTGAATGACTTCTGTCTACCTAGTAACACAACCTTTACTTTAAATGGACAGGAATTAGTTGTAGAAAACACCAACTTTTTCTGAATTACATTTCCAAACTCCATTCTGGCTAAGGTTTTTTAAGTTTTTTGTTTAAACAAAGAGGCATTAAAACAACTTTTACTTACTCTTATTAGTATTTAAAATTACTTACTTGGCTTGATATTGGCTTTTTCTGGAACAAGGTCTTGCAACGTCTCATTTATGTTAACAAGAACACTATTTTCCAAGGTTGGAATGTTGACATCTTTCAAGCCAAAGTGTCTATTTCGTTCATATTCTTTGTATCTGTTTTCCTTCTGAGACAGTGATTTTCTATGAGCAATTTTAGTTCTAATCATTTCAGTACTTAAATCCTTTCTGTGATGACTAACAAAATGTGATGAAGACATTCTGTCAGAAAAAAAAAAACAACAGAAACCAATTTACATGGATTTTCATTTCATTATTTAAAAAAAATTAAGATTCCAGTTCACCTCCTGTCCTACCTCAATCTCTTGAAATAAAAGTATTAAAATTACCATGGGACAAATATATGACAAGAACAGAAAAGAGTAACCTCCTTTCAAAGGACAAGGCGTGGGCTGGAGCTATGGCTCAAGCAGTAGAGTGCCTGCTTAGCAAGTGCAGAGGACAAAACTCTACTAGCTATTTGAGGTTCTAAATAGAAACTTTCCTGACAGATGAAGTGAAGCCCAGGAAAACTATAGTCAACAATACAGACAAGAGGCTCTGGGATTATCACAGAGAACACTGGAAAGAAAAGTGTGAATAAAGTTGAAAACAGGGAATGTAACAGAAAAACTTCTTTAACTTTCTCCTGTGATGAATACAGGAAGGCTAGCATTTCTTCTCAATTCAAAAAGAACAAACAGCTGGGTGTGGTGGCACAAACCTATAGCCTGCAATCCCAGCATTCAGGAAGCTGAGGTAGGATGGCAAGTTCAAGGCCAGCATGGGCTACATAGTGAAATCCTGTCTCCAAAATAAAACAAAACAAAAGGAAATACGAGATGCCTATTAGACACGGAGGATAATAAACAGGCAGTTGGACTGGATGTACATGATTGAAATAAGGGTTTTCAGAAAAACCCAAAAAGATAAGTTAAGGAAGAACCCATATAATTTACTTGTCACACAGACTTTTCTTAGAAAGATCTGTGAGAATGTATTCAAACAAAACAAAGGAGGATAAAAAAGACAGTGCCAAGAGATCTAACAATGTATTCAACTGAGGAGAATAAAGGGAAATGGAAAGTCTGAATGAAAGGCTCACCCATAGAGTTGATATAGTGAACTGTGACTAGTGAGAGGACTGGTTCTCCAGAATGAAAATCTTGGCAGTATATAAAATAAATAACCCAGGCACCAGTGGCTCATGCCTGTAATCCCAGTTACTCAGGAGGATCCACGTCACCTCAGAAATGTCTCAAAACACCCAACACAAACCAGGGCTGGTGGAGTGGCCCAAGTGGTAGAAACATAAAGTCCTGAGTTCAAACCCTAGTACGCCCCCCCCAAATAAATAAATAAATAAACTCTGTGATCAAGTTAAAAAAAAAGTTATAGGCACTCTGAAACACAGAAATAAACAACCTCAGCTTCTACCATTATATTCTAGTAACACACTTGTCATCAGTCAAGCAAGTAATTAATTTTGCAGTGAACACCAGCTGTGTGTCTCCTTAAGTGAATCCAGTGCTGATTCTGTCTACCTGAGATAGCACCAGATCTGACAGGTTAAGGCCTCAGTCCCACAAGACTGGTCTCCAGGCCCAATGCCAATCACAAACTCCAGGTAGTTTTACCTGTGCTACTTACTGACCAGCAACCTGTCAGTATCTGGGTTCCCATGACACGCCCCTTCAGGGTTGTACTAATTTGCTAAAGCGGCTCATAGAGCTCAGGGAAATGCTTACTTACATTTACTGGTTTGTTATAACAGATGTTATAAAAGATATAGAGGAAGACATACATAGGTCAAGCCGGAAGTAGCACAGAGCTTCCATGCCCTCTTCTAACATACCACTGTCCACAAACCTCAGAAGTTTCTATCTGAAGAATCTCAAAACCTGATCTTTTGGGTTGATATGAAGGCTTCATTACACAGTCGTGACTCATTAAATCACTGGCCAAAGTTGGTCAACTCAAATCTCCAGCATCTCTTCCCACTCTGGAGGTTGAGGGTGGGGTTTAAAGACCCTCTAAGACAACTTTGGTCTTTTCTGTAACCAAGCCGCAAGTGAAGCTACCTAGGGGCTGCCAGTCAATCAGTCAATTCATTAGCATATAAGGGATTTATTACTTGGGCTGCTCTATCAAGCATGATGCCCGGAGTTCAAACCCCAGTACCACCAAAAAAGAAAAAAAGTTTGAGTCCTAGGATTTTAGGAGTTGTATGCCAAAAACAGAGACAAAGACCAAATATATACTTAATAATATCAAAGTCACACTACACTCTTCAACAAGAACTAAGAGAGTCCACTAAAAAACTCCAGACAGCTGAATATCGGTAGCTCATGCCAATAATCCTAGCTTCTTGGGAGGCTGAGACAGGAAGGATAGAGGTTCTGGGCCAGCAAGAGGGGGAGGGGAGGAGTTTTCCAGATCTCAAATAACCACAGCAAAATGGACTGGAGGTGTGGCTCAAGTGTAGAACTCTGCAAGCCTGAAGCCCTGTGTTCAAACCCCAGTCCCACCAAAAACAAAACAAAAACTCCAGAAAAATTGAATCCAGGCAAGGTGATACACGCCTTAGTCCCACCACTAGGAGGTATAGGCAAGGGAGTTCGAGCCCAACCTGGGCTACAAAATAAATAAAAACTCACCTACCTTGGATGCTAGTAACGTCTTCTTAAAGAACCCCGGGAAATTAGAAATGGATTGTGCTTTTCATGAAGTACTTTATTATGTAATGTTACCTCCTGCAAGTATCCCTTTGCTAAATGTTAAAGAAAGATAAAACTTATGTACATACTGGAGAAAGAAAGAGAGGGAGACCATTAAAGGCACATTTAATTATCACAAGGTAAGTACTAGTTACCTCTTTTCGCCTTCGTAGAAATGAGGTAAATTAACTGCCCCATTTGCACCGCTAAAAGCTGGCGGATCCCAAGCCAGGCAGCCTGGCTTTTACACACATAAGGTTTTTAGGCTCCCTGCAGTTTCTTCCAGCTGGAAAGCCTAGAAGGCGTTGCTCTTGCTCGCGTACTTTCTCAACCTGGGCGTTTTGAGGGGTTCCAGGACCTGGGAGGAGCTACTGGAATCTAATGTGAGGACCAGGGATGCTAAACGTCCCGCACGTGAAGCACTGTGCACCCCAAAGTCCAATAACGCCCCGGGGTGAAATGCTCACTACTGCCCAGATCATGGCAACAAACATTTGTTCTTCCGGAGGATCGTGCCAGTCGACACGGAGAGGACCTGAGCACAGGCCAGGTCCTTTGACCTTCCTCGCCCGCCTGCGACGTGCGCCATGGTCTCCCCCGGACCCCAGCACTCACCTACCTGGTGAACCTTCTCGCGCGAAGCCTCAAGTAAAAGTAAAGGTGGGGGAATCCTCTGGACCCGGACGACCTGCGTCGCCTAAGCAGGAACGCCTACCAGCTGAGCCGGCGCAAAATTCAAACTTCCCGCAGCGAGCCTCTGATTGGAGGGACTTTAAGCAACACTTCCGGTGCGAGCTCCCGCCCCTTCCCCTCGACGTGGCTTGCGATAGGCTCGCTCCGGGCGATATTTGAATTGATTGAAAGTCAAAGGGATGGCTCTCAGGGTGGGTGCTACTGCGGAAATAGTCTGGGTCGCCCCCGGGGAGGAGAAGAGCGGAGTGCCTGGGCCTCCGCCGGGCTGCATTCGGAGCCGCCCGGTGTCCCGCACAGGGCGACCTTGAGCTCTCAGAGCCTCTCCAGTCCCCGGGAGCGGGAAGGGACCAGGGCAGGGGAGCCACGGAGGCTCGGCGCCTCAGGATTCCGGTTTGCAGGAGTCGTTAATGTGCTGTTTAGTCACCGAAATGCGCAGCCCTTCCTGGAATAGTAAATATTATTATCAGTGATTACTGTTATTGTCGTTGTTCTTCTTAGTAGGCGATTCTGAGGTTTAAGCTCAGAGCCTCCCCCTTGATGGGCAGGCGGGCTCTACCACTGAGCCACGCCCCCAGCACTAATTTTTTTTTTCTTCTTTTCCTTAACGTTTTAACTATGGGCTAACACAAATTCCTCTAACATTGTCTAGTGTTTTCAAAATCTCCAGCCTCATTTTTAAAGTCCGTTTTTTGTTTAGCAACATTTACAATCGGTGACAATCTTAGGGCTGTTAAGGAGACGTTTTAATGAGTTTTGGTCAATTTAAACAACTGTAACTCTCATCCAATCAGATGTAGAGAATCCCATCACCCACGAAGCGTCCCCTCAGCCTGTCTGCCTGCATAAAATCAAGGTGATGGTTACTCTTTGGGGTCGTTCTTCTCCCAGCATAATGTTTGCAGGATTCACTCATACGGTTGCAGTTAGTACTGCACTCAATGTTGTGTCCATTTGCCTACCTGTTGATGGACGTTTGGGTTAAATTTCTTTTTCTTTTCTTTTTTTTTTTTTTGATGGCAGTGGCAATGGGGATTGAACTGAAGACTAGCAAACTCTTCCCTACTTGAGCCATGCCTCTAGCACTTTTTGCATTAGTTATTTTTCAGATAGGGTCTCGTGCTTCTGCTCTGGACTGGCTTCAGAACAAGGGCTTCTTACCCAGGCCTCCAAGATCCTCCTATCATGCCTCCTGCATAGCTGGGGTTACAGATGTGAACCGCCTCACCTGGCTTGTTCTTTGAGATATAGTCTCATTAGCTTTTTTTACCCAGGCTGGCCTTAACTGTGATCCTCCTATCCACCTCCCAGGGATTACAGGTATGAACCAGTGTGTCCAGCCTATTTCCAGTTTTTGGCGGTTATAAGAAAGTTTCTATAAACAGCTGTACAAGTCTTTTTTGAGGGCATATTTTATTTCTCTTAAGGGAAATATAGGTGTGGAATGTCTGGCTCATTCCAGGTAGGGTTGCCAGTTTTCCAAAGTCACACTCTGTCAACAACATATAAAAGCTCCAGTTGTTCCACATGCTTTCCAACATTTGGGGTGGTCAGTCATACTGTTCTTCCTTCAAGAGGATGTAAATGGTATCTCCTTTTCATCTTGCAGTTTCACAAGGACTAATGATTTTTTTCCCATGTGCTTATTGACTATTTGTTTTTGTTTGTTTGTTTTGTTATGCAGTACTGGGTCTCTAACTCAGAGTCTCGCAGAAACTAGGCAAAAGAACTCTACCACTGAGCTACACCCCATCCCTGTTTTATTTTTTAAAATAGGAAGTTACCATTTTTGGGGGGTGGTACTTGGGTATAGGG